ATTATTATTATTATTATTATTATTATTATTATTATTATTATTATTATAAATTACTATGTATCTAAATCTTCTATTCCCATTTGTCTGTAAGAAAGAAAAACATTTTTCTGTAGACCAAATAAATAAATAAATAACTAATTATCGATATACGTATGTATGTAAGTTCAACAAAAATCTACCAAAATTAGAAAAAACTTACCTTTTTACCAAAGTGGCAACCCTGCCCGCAAACATAGTTGACCGCGAAAAAAAGTTTACGCGTCCTTCTTCGCCGTCAAATATTTTGTAACGCGTCTTTCTTCGCCGTCAACTGTGTTAAGAGACTTTCTTCGCTGAAGTTTTTATTGTGCGCCGTTTATCGCGGTCAATTTTTGAGGCCGCGCCTTTATTCGTGTCTAGTGACGAAACAGTGTATTTTTTGTTTTGTATAAAGTAAAGTTATATCAAAAAATTTTGTTTTACAATTTCTTTTGAAACCTGCGTTTTACCTGTATCATTTTCTCTGTGTACGAGCTATATATTCCATAAGTTTCGTATTCATTTCGCAGCCTTAATATTGCGAATTATACAAATTACGCAAATCAAGCAAATGTTTATTTTATAAAGAGTGAGCTGGTAGAGTCGGCTAGTATCGGTATTTCGTCTATGATACGCACACCTAATTCCTGAGTAACATAAGCTGCTTACTCTAAACAGTCAAAACGCTAGAGTCGATTAAAATTCACAAGGTAAAAACCAGGTTTTTTTTTAATACACTGCCATTATTCGGAGGTATCCACTTATTGCATTAAAACTGTCATCTTTTCCCTTCAAAATGCCGCCTGAAGTGGGTACGTATCTTAAAAAGGAAACATTTTAGAGCTAAATTTGTGAAAGCGTACAAATTTCGATTTTTAAAACTTTTGATTCGGACAGGCGGAAACGGGCGTTTTTAAAAATTTAATTTTGCGTAAATTCTCTTCTTTGGCACACAAAAGAAGAAGCCTTCAAAGTTTTTGCAAAATCTAAAATGGGTCCGCGACGATTTTTTGTATTTTCAGACGTTTTCATATGGAATGACTCTAACAATGCCAAACACTAACATATCTGTAAGCGCCAATATATCATTATTATTTTTTATTCTTAGAATGGACTATAGTTGTAAGTGGAAGTAAATGTTAATATGCCAATAAATTGCACATGTTGATTTAAATAGATAATTAAATAATGTTTACTCTTTTTTCAGTAAATCGGAAAGATATGGGTTAGTTTTACGGTGATGATTGTCAACAGAATTGCCCGCAGAAACCATAAACCGAATTACCGCATCCCTAAAAGACGCAATTCATGCATACGAGGTATGGCTTTATCACCAAAGAAGAAAAAAACATTCAAACCATCTTCGTGCTCCTTTTCAATCTTTGTGCAAAACAAAACAACGGCGTCTCAAATATGGGCACTTAGTGTACTAATCGGCATCATATGCCCATTACACATTGTTCATTGTGTAGATCCAAAGTTTGATCCTTCAACACGTATGCGGCTCGTTTTGGTGCCGGCGGATGCGCAAGTTGGCTCTGTAATATATCGATTACGTGGCACAGACGAGGAGTTTGACTATCCACTGGCGTTTGAACTTATAGACGATGCAGCATCGTCTACCGTTAGAATTGAATCCCTTCCGTGTACAAAATATAATTCCGTTTGCCAAGCAAATGTAGTGTTACAACAACGTTTGGAACCGGGACGCTACTACGACTTCCAGGTATCAGTTAAGGACACCAAGGGTGGTACGGCCAGCCAGTTGTGTTCGATTACTGCTACCAATTTTACAACACCACACGATCTCATATTCCCACATAAACCGGGTATTATAATGATTCCAGAGGTAAGGCTAATAGTAGTATTAGTAATTTGATTTATTTCTAGTAGTAATAGTAATTTAATTTATTTTCTTCTTCTTTGATTACAAAACGCTTTGAAAAATTCAAAAAATTAAAATAAATAAAAGATCATAGAATATAACAATAGTTGTGTTTGTTTACTCATTTCCAGTAAAATCAAGTAAAAGTTTTTACGAATTCACGATTTTATTATTATTATTACCAGCCAATGCCCACTTACTTCGCGGCGCTTATTTAATTAGAACTTTTGCTTTGGCCAATGCCAAAGGGTTTAAAAGCAAAAATAGTCTGCAAAGTCAAAATTTTTGGTTTAAGTTGAAACCACCAAAGCGCAGTATCCTCCTCACACATTGGCAAATAATAGTAACTCTGTGATACCATATGGAATACCAATCCCTTTCGGTGTCATGAGCTTTACCGATGGTCTTATTTCCACCTGTGAGATCTCTGCCAAGCATGCGTAATCTTTTTCTAATCTAATCTTTCAACTACAACATTGGTGCGATGCGTATGTTATTATAAGGAAACTCAAGAGCACAGAAGTGCGTTTTCTGTTATAGGAGGGCCAAGAATCCTCGCTGTCCCACAGGTGAAAAGTTTTCCGGTACATTGGCTAAATGAGTCGTGTAACCTCTTGAATATCTTTCAATTGAAGCAATTGATATTCCTACGGTGATCCTTCCTTGTTAATTCGCCACTTTTACAATCAGTGGTAATATTTATGAACTGATTTCTAGGCAGATGCCAGATAGGATGGTCGCGCATGAGGGCGTCAGACAAACTTAACCCCATCCTTCATTTAGACATCTGAAAACTAAATTCGTATAATTTAAACATAGGGCCAAAGCAGACCAACCGCATGGAGTTTCTATACATTTCGGCTGCAGCGCCATCCATTGGGACCATTTTCTGCAAAACCATTAATAATAATAATAATAATAGATTGGCGCTTACACATATGTTTCTTTCTATGATCTTTCAACTACAACATTGGTGCGATGCGTATGCCAATAAAAGTTATTATAAGGAAACTCAAGAGCACAGAAGTGCGTTTTCTGTTATAGGAGGGCCAAGAATCCTCGCTGTCCCATAGGATGAAAAGTTTTCCGGTACATTGGCTGAATGAGTCGTGTGATCTCTTGAATATCTTTCAATTGAAGCAATGATATTCCTACGGTGATCTTTCCTTGTTAATTCGCCATTTTTACAATCCGTGGTAATATTTATGAACTGATGTCTAGTTAGATGCCATATAGCATGATCGTGCATGAAGGCGTCAGACAAACTTAACCCCATCCTTCATTTAGACATCTGAAAACTAAATTCGTATAACCTAAACATAGGGCCAAAGCAGACCAACCGCACGGGGTTTCTATACATTTCGGCTGCAGCGCCATCCATTGGGACCATTATCTGCAAAACCATTAATAATAATAATAGATTGGCGCTTACACATATGTTAGTGTTTGGCCGAGCTTCTCCTCCGATTTGAGTCGTGCGCCTTGATGTTGTCATATAAGCTGTTTTATAAGAAGCTGTTTTTCATGGCAGAAATGCACTCGGAGGTTTGCCATTGCCTCCCGAGGGACGACCGCTGTTGAGAAAAAACTTTTTTTCTATATTTTTTGCGAAGTTGCTTTGACCAGGGTTTGAACCCAGGTGCTGAAAAACCATTGCTTACGATAAAATGAATACGTGTTATGAATTTCAACCTCGACTCCAGCGGCACTTATCGGGTCAATTTTTATCAAAAGCATTCTTCATCATACAGGTACATAGTTCACATTTAAAATTTGAACGAAATCGGTTAATTGTTCGATTTTTATAAATAACTCTACTCCAGCACCACTTAGCGAGTTTTCTAGCAGCATGTAATAGGGCCATATACATATGTAAGACAATCTGCGACAATCTAACGGAACTCTAGTCAGTGGTTTTTGAACAATGAAACGAAACTCGGAAAATCAAAAGCTCCATTCTTTGTGCAAAATTTAAAAAAATTTCTTCAAAATGTTCACATAAATTTTACCTTTTACTAAAAACTAAAAACAAAGTTACAATAGATCAATGGGATTTAGAAATCTAGGAGAAAATGGTTCCCAATCGAATGATACTTGCGCGTTTACGTAAATGCATATCGATGCAACCCTTCCAATAACTACCACTTTTCGCCATTGGTACGGTATTGTTAACATATGCAGCTGTGTCGAATTTCAGGACGTTAGCGTAAGCAGTTGCAAATATAAGCTATATAATGCAATGCAATTGCAATATGTGCATCAGTACTAAGTAGGGTTGCCAGATTTTGAAACGGAGAAAGGAGTACATTTATATTTTCGGTAGAAAAAAAGCAGTACAAGACTTAAAAAAGGAGTACATTTTTTTAATTTTTTGTGCAATTTATTGTTACAAATTACCATTAATTAGGTACAAATAAACAAAGATATTTTAGAAATCTTTTTAAAAGCAACAATAAATGTTAAAAATAAATAACTAAATGGACTGGCTTTCCAATAAGGGCGGTCGTTAAAGAGATGTTGATCAAAGGGAGAGTGGGCGTGGCACCCAATTGTGATATTTGGCGATTTTTCTAGGGACCCCTTCGCTCACCACCTCTTCAATGACCGCTCTATAGGAAATTTTTCCTAACTAAATCCTACAAAAGAATACCAAACTTTTTCTGAATATATGGCCAGTTTTTGAATTTAAGCCTTATAATTAATTAAATATTTTTCTGATTTTTATACCCGAGCGCTCTGCACCTACCTTGCTACGACCATGCCTGCACCTTTTCACTATTACACTTAACTTTGCTTACTAAGTAGTGTTTGCCACAATATGAATGGCAAAGTACAGGGCGTAAGATAATAACTGTCGCACAGGTTTTTTGAAAAATAAAAGGGTCCTTTATAGATGTTGCGAAAAGGAGTATTTTTTTGTTAACTTTGTAAATACTTTACATTAATTTTATTAATTAGTTTTAAAATTTTAATCCTTATTTGCATTTGCCAGCTTTGGGAGATAAGTTCACGCGGCACTCACGTCTTTTATAGGTGTACTTTTTCTTAGACTTTGTATAAAAAAAAAGAGAAAAAAAAAATGTATAGGGTTGGTCGTATGAATGCCCTCCTAGTCACCGGTTCGGAGTCTTTTCGATTGCTGAGAAGGAGGCCTTATGTTGGACAAAAGATGGAGTATAAAGGACTCAAATGAGGGAAATTAGCCTATATTTACAGAAGATATGTAATAAAGTAACCGATGAAGACTTGCGTGCCGCTTGCGTTTTTCTCCCAAACCCGCTGGTAAACCCAAATGAAGGTCAAAATTTAAAAACGAATTAATAAAATTTTCGCAAAATCTATAAAGGTCCCTTTTATTAAAAACAAAAAAAACTGTGCGACAGTTATTATTTTACACCCTGTATATGATAAAATATTAATAGCTGGAAAAAGTAGAACAAAAGAAGTACAAAACTAATAAAGGAGTACATTTCCATATATTTTTTTTGGGAGTACAAGGGAGTACATTGCAATAAAAAGGACTACGTGTACTCCCAAAAGCAGTACGTCTGGCAACCCTAGTGCAAAGCTTCAGTTCCGCAGCGTAATTAGTTTTAGAGATATATTGGGGTTTTACGTTTTAGTCTGTATAAGAATTTTAGGAATATCCCGAGCTACATACCTGGTAAATTTTTGGTCGGAATATTATTTTCAAGGTGCTGGCTTAATTTCCAAATATGAACCAAATCGGGGCAGCCGTTTAGTAGTTTAGTGAAATACATTGTACAGAGAACTGTATGGAATTGTAAAGCGTGACGTCTTAGATTTCTTAATTTTTTGGCAGCAATAAAAATTTTGATTTCTTTAAGCGAAAAACCTTCCACACAGAAGTTCCAACAAAGTGCGATTGGTTATGCTTGAACACACTTAATTGAATGTCAAAAAATTAAGTTTGTGGTTATATCCAGGCGAAATTTCGAGAGCAGTCTTTGCTAGCTAACGATATGTTAAAAATACTGTGTAACTGTGCGGAAGCAAAATAACTTCGTTCGTGAAAACTGATTAATGTTGCTATTAAAAGTTGGCATCAAATGCTTAAAATTTTGCCTTTCGAGTCTTAAGGCTTTTCTCTGCATTTTGAGCAAATAAGAGTGCGAAGAGTGATCAAATATAGAAATATCATCGTAAATAAGTAACAAAAAAAAAATACTATATAATACTGAGACTCAAAATTATTATGGCACCCAAAACACGTACTCATAAAAGGCAAAATCACAAAGAGCTAATGCAAAGTGAAACCAGTGATGAAGAAGTGGAAAGCTCAAATCTAACAACTATATTTGACAAAATGCAAAAGCAATTCAAAACGCAAGAAAAAGCAATCAACAAAATACATGACTCTCAAAAATACATTAGTGATAGCTTTGAGGAACTGAGAAACGAAATAACGAGACTGACAGAGGAAAACAAGAAAATAAAAAAGGAGCTTTCGTAGCTTAAAGCTCAAAACTCAAATATCAAATCGAACATGTCAAAAATCCATCGCGAAGTGACAGTGCTAAAACAAAAAAACAAAAAAAACTTAATAATAACAAACTTACCGAAAATTTAAAAGAATGAACTTAAAAATGTAATAATAAAATTAGGACAGCCAGTAGATTCGATAGAAAGGATTTAATTGAAGTCTACCAAAATGAAAACAAGGGATATAAAACTTTTCCGGTCATTGGGAAAATGAGTAACGAAGACTTTAAAACAAAAGCTATGAAATTTAGAAAAGCAAATAAGGTAATAGATATGAGCAAAATTCTTCCCGAAACAGAGATGAGAGCAAAAAAATATCAGCTTTCATCACCTATTGGAGAAAGAGCTGAGCGACCTGTTGAGCAAAACTAAAGAGGAAGCCAAATGCAAATACTTCCAATTCGTCTGGGTAAAAGATGGCAAAGTTTTAATCAGGACAGATGAACGCGCGACCATCATACACATTGAAACATTAGAAGATCTTAAGAAAA